AGAGAGAGAGAGGAGAGAGAGAGAGAGAGAGAGAGAGAGAGAGAGAGAGAGAGAGAGAGAGAGAGAGAGAGAGAGAGAAGATAGAGAGAGGGAGAGAGAGAGAGAGAGAGACCTGGGTATGTTACAGGCATGAGGTTGCCATCTCCACTTGGTGTAGAGGTTATCAGGCCTCCCATTCTCAGAGCAGCGAAACCCATCATCGATGAAAGGGCAATCCCTCGACTGATACAGAGGCAAAGACTCATCCCAAACCCAGGACCCATCATACAAATCACACCCACTCTTCCCCACCTCCATGAAATCAACCCTCTCTTTCTCAGGCAAATATGTTTGAGCATTGTGTCTCAGAGACCTTTGCTGCCTTCCCAAAAAGAAACCCCCATTCAAGACTCTGATATCAAGATAAAGAAATCCCAAGAAACACGGCACCATGAAGCACATAAACCCTAGAATCCCAAGGCCAAAAACCGGCCAGTCCGGCTTCAGAACTCGACGAAATCCCCTAAAAAACTCCATTACTTCTGCAAGTCCTTTCTGAACTTCTTTCATGTGAAAAAACCAGATTGGTTTGCTTCACTCTACAATGTGCCACTTTCTTTTTCTTTCACTGGGCTGGAGATGAGTGCTGCGCAAGTAAAGGGTCATTAATGGGGCACTGTGTCTTGCTATATTTCATGGCCGTCTCTGTACAAATCGTTTTAGACAGAGACTCCAATGACCTGTTTTTCTTCTTATTCCTGAAATGGAACGGAGTTAAGCAGGGAGCAGGAGCAGGGTATTCATGGCGGACTCTGGCGTTCTGCCTTTTCTCCGGTGAACGTTGTTTTTCTCTGTCCTCTTTTGGCTCGAGGGGAGCGTGAATCCAGAAGGGAAAGGGACCGGTTATCGCCTACTTAAATAAAGAGAGAAGAGGGCGTGCGTAAATGTTTTGTTACGGGCATGGTAAACGCGAATAGCGGTCGGTAGAGAGAGAAATGGGCTTCACGTATGTAGAAAGAGAAACTTACGTTACTGTCGCCCAACCCAGACCGGTCCCGGTTACATGCACTAACCGCCCAAGCTGAAAATGAAATATATAAAAAATATGTTTAAATTAAATTAAAATTAGTAAAAAATAGAAAGAAATAAGTTTATATAAGTGCGATACTCTAAACCTTCAAATTAAGGCGTACCTCAAATATTTCACTAAAAAAAACTTGTCTTGATGCGCAAATATCTTTAAATTGGTCATTCCATGCATTGGCATGAGAAAAAGTGGATTTCAAGTTTTGCAAATAGTACATCTTGCAATGCATTTTTGGATCGTCAATTTTCAAGTTTTCATATATCGGCTTTATCTACATTATTTTTAAAACTTTAAATTTTATAATTAGACATCGAAATATATTTTAAGGCTATCCCAAAGATTTTCAATATTGAAACCGCATTTATTGATACTATTTGAAGGTACGTTTTACTTTGATTGTTTAGAGCCTCGGCCTTTTAAAAATAAGCCAAACAAGAAAGACCAATGAAGAAATAAGTATTTATAGCCAAAATATTTTTCAAAAAAATAAAAAATATGAAAAAAACCAAATTTTTATTTTTTGGGGACCACTCTAACGGACTGCAACGAGCGGTGGCCAATTTTAGCAACTGAGTGGTGGCCGATTTTAGGTAAACACCCAGATTGGCAGATTTTGCAAACACTAGATGGACTTCAATTTAGAGAGAGAGAGAGAGAGAGGGATAAGAGGGATTCAATCATTCAAAACACCAGTTTTCGTAGGGACTTTGATTTAGAGAAAGAAAGAGGTGGGGTAAAGGGGGGTTCAAAACACGACTGCAATTTTTTGTAGGGTAGTTAATGGGGTCCGAAACATTGTAAACCACACTTAAAAACACATTTTTTCAAAAGAGTTCCCTCTCGAGTATATAATCTTTTGGCTTTAAACAAGGAAACGGTTTATAAAAGTTACATTTAAGTTGTAGAATTAAGGTGCATCTCATAATCCATCGGAAAAAAGCTATTTTGACTTGAACAACTATCTAATTGATTATCTACATCGATATGTATAGATATAAATAATAATAATAATATTCAAGTCTCAAAAATAATATATCTTGCAACACATTTTTGGATCATCTATTTTCAAGAATTTTATTTATAAATTTATTTTATTTGAATTATTTTTAAAGTTTAAAATTTTATAATTAGAGAAAAATCGATTACACGATCATCTTAAAAAATTTCGACATTAGATTGCATCTTATGACAAAGTTTGGAGGTGTGCCTTACTTTGAGGTTAAAGGTTGCAACTTTATGCAAACCAAATTAAAATGGAGTGGTTTTAATATTAGCTTAAAAGATGTTTCTTTGATAAAATGAATTATTGCTATATTTATTTATTTCTAAAAACATTGATTCATTGTGATAGAGGGTATTAACAATAGGAAAAAGTTTATATAAGGATGCTACCTTATAATGTAGAACTATGGATGCCCCTTAAAAATCTATCGGAAAAGGTAGTTTTAATGTTGAGAAACCATTTGACTGATCATCTCGACATCGAGATGTATGCATATGAAAAATAAAAAGATTTTAAATCTCATAAATAATGCATTTTACAACATATTATCTACACTGTCCATTTTCAAGATTTTCATGTGTTTATATATCTACTTGATTTTAACTATTTTTTAAATTTAAAATTTTATAATTAGATATAAAAATAAATTTTAAAATAATTCTAAAAATATTTTACATCAAAATTATATACCATTATAAAAAAAATTTGAACCTTACCTCTACGCCTACATCTGTATGCCAACGGCACCCTTAATGACAATGATTCATTGACTATTTTCATTCTGAAGTAATTTTTCTTAAATGTTAATAAAAGTACTTGGTCTCCCCTTAAACATATACACCTGTCGGTTCCAAATTGATACATAATTCATTTACTCACAATTTTATGTTGCTATATTGTCTTTGGCCTTTTTATTTTCCGGCTCCATTTTAATCAGACCCAGTGATAGGGATCGAGCTCGCGCCCATCCAGGGTTGATTCAAATTCATGAACCTTGAAATCGTTTAATTCCTAGTACGTTTCTTAACTTTATTATTATTTTATTATTCATTCTCCTGATTTCCACCGATCTAGATCACCTATCCAACTGATTTGATACATTCATAGACGGCTGATCCAATTTTTGGAAGGTGTGGTTTACATAGGGTTGTAACCTTAAACAATCAAATTAAAATGCACCTCCAAACTTTGTGATGAGATGCAAATTTGGTTTCAAATTCTTAGGATGGTGTGAGAATTTATTTTTATCTCTAATTATAAAATTTTAAAGTCCAAAAATAGTTAAAATCAAATAGATCTATAAATGCATAAAAATCTTGAAAATGGAGGGTCCAAATAATATATTATAAAATATATTATTTTTAAGACTTGAAATATCTTTTTGTCTCCGTATTTATATGCTTTTCCAACATAAAAACTAACTTTTGTCGAAATATTTTGTAGGTGCACCTTAGTTCAACCTTATATTTTTTTCTCCTTTTTGTTTTTTTTTTTTAATGCTTGCCACGTAGAATGTGCATGGAGCTTAAAAGGTTATATTTAAGTGCTTGTATAACTCCTTTCGGTTAAAAGTTAGGCGGAAGCAAAGTTTGAATTTTATTGGCATAGGGATTATAATATGTAATTTTGTTAAGTGGGGAAGGCCAAGGACAAAAAAAAAATGGCATGCATCCCACGATGCTCATTTTTGCGCCTTTTTTAGTGTTCAATTTTCAAACGTGGGGCCCTCCTTGCTGCCCCTACAATATTATCCAAAATCCTTTTTTTTTTTTTTAAACGCCTCACTCACAATCGTTCGACTTTAAGATGGACCCCCACAACTAAATATTCCTATCCAATGGACATGAAACAATTTAAAAAATATATTTCAAAATTAAATTTTATCTTTTTTTTAAAAAAAAAAATGTTCATGAGCATCATATTGTAGATCATGGATTCTACAAATTTGGATCCAAGATCCGTATCAAAAATAGGTATTAGAGGGAGCCTGCACAAGAATAGAATGAGTTGGGGGACCATAAAAACGGCTCATTTTTTTGGGTACAGAAAAAAACAAAAACGTGCACCGTCGAATTTAAGACCCCTGTTCAAGCCCAAAGCTCAAATAAAAGGCAACGTGAATACAAATACAACAACAATTATTACTCATCGCTAATTATAAAATTCAAAATTTTAAAAATAGTATAGATTAAGAAGAAATATAAACAATTAAAAATCTTGACAATAGGCACTCAAGATAACTTACTACATTGTCTTTAGGATTTGAAATTTTTTTTTCTTAATATCCCTACATCTCAAGGTCAATATGATTAATTAAAGGGTTCAACATGATTACAATCTATACTAGAGGAATTTTTAAGTGCACCTTACTTCATAATGACACCTTCTATAAATTTTGTATTATTTTATTATTATTATTATTTTGCCATTAGCCATCAAGTAAAGGTAAATATGCTTTATAGTTAACCATGTCAGCTCATTCTCTTTGTTGCAAAGAGTAAGAGTAGTTATTATTATGTGGGTTTTGGGTATGGGTATGGATATGGAGATGGAGTGGAGTGAAATCAAGGTTGATATGAATGCAATGCATCTATGATATTCCATTCTATCCTTTGGTCCCAAGTTTGGAAGATTAGAAGTGGGTCCCACAGCATGAAAAGTCAGATCCCATGTTCTTATTTGTAGGGTCTAAATAAAAGATTTTATATTAATTGGGGGATTTGATTGGTTGGGGTATTGGTTATTCTTTGATTGGTGCAGTTGGCATCCGTACCTTTAGAAGTAAGGTGCCCATTCAAATTTTATCATAATATATAATTTTGATGTAAAATGTTTTTAGAATTATCTCAAAGTTTATTTTTATATCTAATTATAAAATTTTAAATTAAAAAAAAGGTTAAAATCAAGTAGATCTACAAATATATGAAAATCTTGAAAATCGACGGTGTAGATAATATGTTGTAAAATGCACTATTTCAGAGACTTAAAATCTTTTTATTTTTCATGGTCATACATCTCGATGCCGAGATGATCAATTAAAAGGTTTTTCAACATTAAAACTATCTTTTCTTACGGATTTTTGAGGTGCATTTGTAGCTCTACATTTTAACGTTGCAACCTTATATAAACTTTTACTTTCTTTGATTTTCCGATACGATGTTTAGTAATCAAAATCAGGCCGGGCTCTAGTCTCACTTGGATTCCCCTAGTCGAACTTGGGTGATTCCTTTATTGAGCAAAGTATTTAAGTGAAGAGGCCAAAAAATTCAAAGAATCGAAGCCCTTATGCGGTTTTTAGAACTGGAATTGCCTAATTGACGATCCTGATTTGAATCGGCGATTTCTCTGTGCATGGTTTACATTCATTAAACACTGAGTTATAAGTTATAACATCACAAGACGTAATATTACATAACATTGTATTTTTCTATTTTTGTCAGTGTTGTCAGAGTCACTTCACTTCGACTGAAGAGGTTGAAGCTTTCGAATTTTAGGCCTAGACCGAAGCGAAGCAAAAACCTGGTGCTGCAGCTTTAAATAGCTTCAACCGAAGCAAAGAAATATCTATATAAAAATAAAATTTCTTTATTTTTATTTTTACTTTTTTATTTTTAGTACATTTTAATATATTTATTTTAATACATTTTTATATATAAATATCTAATTTATTTATATTATTTAAAAAAAAATCAAAGTTTTCCTCTGAAGAGATCGAAATATCAAATTGCTTCATTTTTCTCACCAAATCGAAAAACACTACTCTCGAGTGCATTGTCCTCTGCATCCATGAAAGTATCTAATAAATGG